TTTTTTTTTTGTAGGTATCCTTAAGATTAATTTTCATATATCCACTTTTCTTTTATCATGCTTGATGACAGATTGAGTAGACGTTAGCACATCAACGTAAAGTCTGCGCTGTCAGCATATTTCTCACTAGCACTCTATCCACAAAATCATGCGCGACATATCAGATTAACACAAGGAAGGGTAACCGGTTCGGAACCAAAGACGACCTTTGGTGCACCAAGCTTGTTATGAATATTATTATTTAAAAGAAAAAAAGAACAGAACAGTGTTTTCATTTGTGAATTAGGAAATCATTAACAGCGACAAGTCAAAAAAAACCATAAACAAGTGCCAGAATAAATATCTTCCTATTCACTATATACCCAACTACTGAGAATTTTAACAAGAGATATTAAAACTTGTCGCATTTAATTTTAAAAGGTTTCACCATGACAAGGCCCATTTTTTCTGTTTCTGCAAAGATGAGATCTTAACCATGTCAAACTTATGTTATACCTGTAAAAAGCAGACCCACGATAAGGAGATGCCAACCCGTAAGTCCTTCAAACGAGGTCCACCAACTGCAAGTTCACCACTTACCAAGAATAGGTGAAAGAAATAAAACTAAGCAAAAAAATAATAATTAAAAAAAATTAAAAAGACTCTTAAGTAATAAATAATACTCAAGTCGAAGATCCAGAAACACTTCCAACTCTAGAAGACAAACAGGAACCTGTCCTGGTGTTACATGAACAAGCAGAACATTTTTCCTGGGGATTCGATTTTATAGTGCACATTCCCGAAATATACCATAAATAGTAATAACAGCAAAATTATTTGCATCTCAGTGAACAACCATTAGCAAACAACTATAAGTAGTAGTAACCTTTAACTTCACCCACTTGGATATGATAGTGCCAACAATATATGAGTCTCAATACAGACAAGTAATACATGTTCTTTATTTTCGTATGAGATGAAGTAAAAAAAATAACTATATATATATATACATATATACATATAGGGGCTGGTTCAAATAAAAACGAGTACTGGTGTGAGAACAATATTTGATGCTATTTTTATTTATATGTGATGCTATTTTTAATATTAGATGATACTATCATTTTCACAAATGCTAATAAAGATTGTATTGCTATTTTTAATAAAATCCATCTTGGTTAGAACGAGCACCAAACAAAATCAATCATAGCACTACGCAAGCTTAAAAATTGTGGTTCTCGCACTAAGACTTGGCTCTCATTTGAACCACATTTTATATATATATTGTGTGTGTGTGTGTGTGTGCGCGCGCACGAAACAAACGAGAATGAAAAAGGTACACATGCATCTCTCCGGTTGGTGCATGTACGACATCACAGTGCACATAAAGTGACAATTGACAATGGTAGACTAATTATTAAGGTAACCACCTTTCAAGTTTCAATCAATGATCAATCCATTTCACAATCACACACACCTTAGTGGAAACAACTTCTGCCAGCGTAAAAGAAAGAAAAAGATTCAGCTATGCAATCAATCCCTAAATTTCACGTTTCCAACCATCGTGATAGATATACAACATCTGTTGTTTTATAGTTCGAAATGCCTTCTGCACTGTACTTAAATTCCATATTTTGCCTACGTTATTCCTGGCATGGTGATTTATGTTCTTAAAGACAAATAGAATTTCTTAGTACACAACACGTACTTTTAGGTACTTATTTTAACATAAAATGTGAAGAGTCACATCATCTGCCCAATTCTTACAGGTTTTAACCACTCTGCCCCCATCACAGTGAAACACCTCATTAAAAGAACATTCTACATTTATATGTACAATATGACTTGAACCATCCTAATAATAAGAAACTCTGACATGTAGTTTATATGCATCGGAGGGCAACAGCCGAATCAATTTTTGTAAACCAAAATACTAGCAAATTGATGGAAACATAAACCAAAGTGTAGCACTTAAGGTACCTTTGGCAAATGGCATCGCTAAGTGCTTCTGCAAAGACCATTCTTGCATCTTAACAGTAGGATGTCCTTTTCCTTTTGGTTTCACCTAGAAGAAGATTATAAGGCTTGAGATAACCTCAAAATAGTAGAGAATAACCTGAACATGGAGAACTAGTACTTGTGCATCAGGATTCATTCCAAGAGCGAGCAATGCGCCTAAAGCTTCAGCAAAAGCATCCCTTACAGATTTCACTGGATCCTCAAGGGCCTTAAACAAGAATAGGTCTGTGAGAAGAGAGTTATCAATATTCAGTGAAGTATAGATGACGCATAAATTTAGAACCTTCACACAGTAAGACGAACAATTCTCAAGTTCTCCAATCCCCAAGCCCGGCCCTCCAATATTTGCAAACGCCTTCAGACATCTAGCAGCAGCTACTCTAACGCTTAAAGACTTATCGCCTACTCCAGTCCTTGTAATTATACGGAAGGCCTCAATATAGGCTGCCGAAGCAGCACTCCCATCAGAACCCTCCAAAGCATTACGAAGCATGTGCAGAGCCTCTTGCCTCACGAAATCCTATCGCAGCTTGCCATTATATAAGGGCATATAAACATGTGTGTGTATACACTCATATAGCGGGAATAATATACACCAACATATATATGTAATATAGAGATGCTCGAATACAATTGAGATGCATAAGAGGTGAATTTTATTGATCCTCAGCATCACATTCACTAATAGAACTCCTCCACTAGATGCATCATCGACCACAAATGTGACATGTTAAAACACCAAATTTTTGTTTCAAGGAAGAAGAGACGTTATACTTTCTGATAATATTTGACGGCAGGGACAACCATGTGCTTTAGCAATTAAGAAGAGAAACAGACAACTTCAATCCGATATTTATAACAAGCAGGCAACAGCTGAATATCTAAAAGGCCATATTTTGGGTTGGGGTATCATTCAATAGTAAGTAACAGCTTTAACTAGAAATAAAGAAAAATATGTGTTTACAATATGTGAGGGACACTGTACCTACCTGATAACTAACACTGTAGACCAAAATTTATGGCAGTCTTTTTCTCAAATTTACGATACTCATTGGAGTTGGAGCATCACATATTTATTCTATTCTTCCATGGCTCAATTAACATACAGATAAATTTAATAACAAGTAAAAGCATAACTGTCCAATGAGAGAAAAGGATAACCAGAATTAATTACCTCAGTAAATTTTAGTAGCTTAGCAACGATACTAGTTGTTTCAAGTAATCCAGATACAATCCGTCTTCCAAAATAGCGGTACAATTCTCCCAAGCATTGTGCAGCACCTATACAGAAGCCATGGAAATATAATAAACAAACAAAATTTAATATCTGTCGACGAATCTAAACCTGAATAAATAATACAAATACCAAAAAAAAGAAACAGAGGCTATGGGTTGCCTTGTTTACTAAGGTGAGTTTAAGATTAACCAGGGGCCATTAGAACATCAAGGTAAGGCTACTCAGAATCTCACAGCAGCAATGAAGACTAGATTGTACTATAGCTTATTCAGTTACACCTCACTTTCTCTTCTGTAAGCAACACAATTGAATTCCGGAAACAATTGAGACATGAGCACAAAACTAATGAATTTATAATTGCATTACGCAGCTCATCTAAGCAGTTCATAAATTTCATGATGGCTTCCATCAAATTTCAAACTTAGGATAACGCCCTCCTTGGGTATAAGCCTCCAAGATAAATATTGGAAACAAGTAACAATTAAGTAAAGCACAGACCTGTAGTTCTAGGTTTGACATCAAACTTGATGGAAAGAATTTGTAAGTGTGAAAAAAGAACTGATTGAAAAAAAGGGAGGGAAAAAATTTCTTCCAGTCATAATGTTTCATCATAAGTATGTATTCCTTTTTTTCCAAGATATACTAGAAGAAACTCTAATTAACTAAAAGTTGCTGCTTTCCAAAGTCCTATGCATTTAAAATGTCACAAAAATTAAACAGCAAATAAGATATAGATAATGTGACAAGGAGTTTGTTCATGCACGCCCAATATAGAAGCCATTGTCAAAGTACAATAAGCATCCTCTCAAGACCAGATTAATGCACCGTAAGCACACATCAGGAACTGAATACCAAAGATCTTGTAAAACCCAAGCTTAAGATAAAAGAATCTCAAAGAAATCAAAACAGCTAGATAGAACAATATATATCAATAATGTACACGTACGAACCAGCAACTTTTTGAGCCTCGCCCTTCTTGCCATCGGAAAGAAATCCCTGAAGGCTGCTTGCTCTAGAGTAGATCGAAATTGAATCGCCCTTAAATATAATTTTTGCCATTGCCAATGATGTCAAATGCCTCACAGGCCTACGAGCGCCCAGCACCAGCAAAGAATAAAGTACATCCTCACATTTTCTTTGCCAAAGCATTACAGATTCCTGAAATTTCAAAAAATTATTATCGAAAATTTATTATACTATCCAACACGAATAAGCCTAAGGTGAATAGTTCAGAAAGGGGATGAACCAAAATAAAATTCCAACAACAGAGAATCAAGGTTGTAACTCTTTAAAGCATTAAATACAGTAGTTAGAAACCCCTTAAATTAGCATAGAGTCAGCCACAAAAACAAATGCACAGCTTTCTGTGCTCCTCTCATCCAAAATAATGATCCATAAAACATCCATGAGATCAGCAGGAATGAAACAACTTTCGAGCCAAAAACTTAAACTAATAGAAAAACACTCTTACTATGGGATGTTTTCCCTTTTCTGTTAACCAATTGAAAACTCAAACATGTAACTAAGATTAAGATTCATCAAACTGTACATAACTTAAAACTGAGGATATGACCAGATTCTGGCCCGTAACTTAATACTGCCAGGAATTAGAACTTCAGACAAAACAGATATTGAATAGCACCGCAAAGAACCAAAAAGGCAGCAGTCCAAATCAATGACAAGGCTCATTCAATAGCCAAAAACATAAACTTTCACAGTGCAACATTCGGTGTACATTAACTTAATAACAGTTCATGTGCGGCTCAAACCTTGGGCTCCTCTTCTACGGCGGAGATGAGATCAGATAGAAGATCGAAACAGAGGAGTCCATCAGGTGGCTTGTGGGCGGCGGACGCCACGATTGATTCAAGTTGCGCCACCAGCACGCCTAACCTCGATAACTGCGCGTTCTCCGTGACGTAGCTCCTCGCCATACCCAGGGAAGTGTGTGACTGTGTGCGTTAACTGCAACTCTGGTTCCCAGGACGCCGTGGTGGTTATTTCAGGGGAGATCTGCGCAAAAGCTGGACTTTCAGTTACCTCTGGTGAATCTCTACTGATGAAAAGTTGTAGTGAACATGTGATTCGAAGCTGGGATTTTACAGAGATGGTGGAGAGAATTGAAGGAATGAAATGGGAAAATCAATTTTGGTTGAGTTTTGAATTTGGTCTCACAAATTGAAAAAATGTTCATTTACTTTTTTTGTTACAGTTTTAAGAGTTAGATCATGCATACAAAAGTGAAATAGTGTAAAATTGCTCTAATAGAATATTATAAATTGTAAATTTGGTCTCAAGTTTGACGAAATTAGTTTGCTTCTGGGGCTTCGGAATCCTACTTTGCAAAGAATCAGGGGTAATTGTTTACAAAAGATTTCACCTCAAAAAATTTCAACTCAAAATCTAACTTAACTTTAACTCAATCCCACTATCTTTAATATTATTCATATAATTAAATAATACAAATCAATCATTCTTACACATCACATCAATTTTAATTCACTATTCATTCACTCACATAATTTTAACTACCAACCATTTTCAATCATTTATCTACTACTTTATATCAAATCAATTTTAATCATCTATATCTATACTTATATAATAAGGTATCATAGGTTGAAAAGTCAACGTAATTAATGCATTGCTATTTCTATCCAGAATTTTATTTAATTATTTTATTTATTTATCTTATATCCTATAAAATCAGTTTAAGAAAAAAATTCATAACATCTGATAAGTAAATAAAAAAGGACGTAAAATTTTTACTAAAAAAACAAAAAAAAAAAACTTTATTTATTTGTCTCATTCCATATTAACATAGATTTTGTCAAAATAAATCCCATAAAATCGGTGAAGTTAAAATTTGTACGTAAAGTCTATCTATACTAAAAAAAGGCAGATTCAAAATTCCTTATCCAATTCCTTCTTTTCCTTATCTAATTCCTTCTTATTATCTAATTGTATGGAAATCTGTTCTGATTTTGTTCAATCATCTAAATGTATTTGTATTATATCACATAAAATCGGTTTAACAACAACAAAAAAAAAATCATAACATCCGATAAGTAAAAAAAAATACGTAAAATCTTTACTAAAATAAAAAAGGCTTTATTTATTATCTAATTCTATGGAAATTTGTTCTTATTTTGTTCAAACCGATTTCTGTATATTCATATTCTGATTTTCTAATAAAAATATTAACATCGATATATATCTACTCTACCCATTATAAATTACAAATCTCAAAATATCTAGTCATCATCTTCCTCACTATCAACCTCCTGCGAACAAAAAATATTTCCAATCAGTCTTTTATTCAAAACATAAATCAAGGATTTGGGTTAATCAAACAAATCAATAGGTCTAATAGACCTATGCTCAAAGTTCGTATTGTGAGAATGTTTTTCCAAGATTGGGGCAGCACATACAAATCATATCTCGAGTTGGTTCTGCATGATAAAACTGTAAGCCAAACTATTTGAATTTTTGTTTTAATTTTGAAATTTGAAACGTATATTTTAATTTTTTTTCGTGTATGTATTTAGATATTTTTGTACATGTTTAGTGAAATATATTTTCGATTTTTTTTAATTATATTTTTAGATTTGCAATTTTGCTTATTTAAACGTATCGTGTATGTATTTAGATACTTACATTATTTATATTTATTTTCGTGTATTGTAAAACTTTTATTGAATATTGCATCTTATAGTATAATAATGCCCAAATAAATATATCTCGTGTCTCGCACAGGTCACGTACTATATATATCCCGTACATTTTTCTTTATAAGTTTATATAATTATAAGGTTGGATAAATGGCCTTAAAATTGTGCACCCCGTGCATACGGGCTCTGTACTAGTTTTATTTTAAATATTATTTTAATATATTTTTTAAATCCCACTAATAATTAACCACACTACTTTTTCAACTTTGACCATAGTTAACCAAAATGAAATATTTTGGATGAAATATTTTATAAACAATCATGCCCTCATGCTTCGTAATTAGGTTTGGACAAATAATATTGATATATTAATAATTAATAATCTAGGTTCGGACATTCCATAAATATTAAATAGCTAACTTAGGCATTTTAATATCACTTGTACTAATATAATCCTTTAATTCCTTGTAATTTTACATAGTGAGACATTAAGTGACTAATATATCCTGACTTTTGATTTGTTTCCTTCAATTAGTTATTTAATTGTAAATGTATTTTAAAAGTTGATAACTTTTGTATTTCTTATCGATTTTATATATATAATATATCAAATTAATCATCTTTTGATGATCTTCGATTTGACATCCATATTGTATATATGAAATAAATAAATTATATTTATCTTTATAATAATAAAAAATAATAATATTTATTAAAATTCATTAGAAAAATAAATTATTTCTCAATTGATATATTTATGTTTAATGTAGTTATATTTTGTAAGTTAAAAAATTATTATAATATAACACAAGTAAGTCGCACAAATAAAAGAGTGTCATACTAAATATATAATAATATATATATTTATAAGTTATTTAAATTTTCAATTACTTTTTCTCATTAATTTTAGATTTTAAGAAAAAATTAGCAAGCACCCGTGTAATACACGGGCGTTGTACTAGTTTTTATTATTGCAAGAATAATCTTATTTTCTTTAAATATTACAGGTACAAAACTCGTGTATTATACGTGTGCTTGTTAGAAAAATTTATTTTTAAATTTTAAAATTAATGAAAAAGTGTGTTTTAATATTTAAATAGTGTTTACAAAAAATATATATGTTATTATATATTTTAGAATGATACTTGTTACTTGTGTGAGTTATCTATGTTTATATTATAATAATTTATCTAATTTATACCATATAACTACTTTAAACATATATTAGTTGATAAATAATTTTATTTTTTAAATTAGTATTAATATCTAAGTTTATTAAAATTATAAATATAAATATAATTTATTTATTTTATATATACAATATAGATGTCAAATCGAAACTCCTCAATAGATGATTAATGTGATATATTATATATGTAAAAGTCATAAAAAAATTATTAACTTTTAAAATACATCAACAATTCAATGGTTATAATAGAAAATAATATTAAAATACAATTAATACATCTAAAATAATCATTAATAACCAATGAATTTTTAAATAATCTGGACCTAATTATTTTTTTGATTGAAATGAATTAAAACTTACCCAAGCCAAATAATAAAACATGAAATTTTGTCACATAGGATCTCGAAACATGCGAGTCTGCCACTTAGTCTCAACATATTCGGAAATCATATATAAGGGGAGGGGATTAAACATTTTATAAAATGTATTCTTCTTTTAATTATGTATATTGCTCTTTATCTTTATTTAAATTATTACACATTTAAAAATTATAAACAACATGAGTTGTTAAAATTACTGTCCTTTCTAAGTTAGTAATAATGTTGTCATTATCTCGTAGAGCAAGTCAGAATATTGTAATATGAGCAATAATAGAAATAGGAAAAAGCTACTTGTAAGACTCTTTTGTACAACATTTAATGACAACATGATGTGGCACAATGTGGGTGGTTGAGATGCAAATAAATGTATGGTTAAGATTTAAGTTAATGGTACTTTTAACTATGTTGTCAAATAATGTTGTAAAGTACAATTGTACATGTAGCATTGCCCATAGAAATAACAAGGTGATAAAATACTACTTGTATTTAAAAAAAAAAAAGAAAGAAAAGTAATTTCATATATTAAACTACATATAACTTGAAATAAAAAATTAGATAATAATGTAATTAAGGTTATAAAAAGTAGTTATGCTTTTGCTAAGTAGCGAGCTGGTGTTTATAGCTTGGACGTGGATATTTCTAGACGAGTCGTAAAAATATTAATAAATTTATTTATTCTATTTTCATGCATAATTTACAAGTACGTTATATATAATATACTAAGTAATAGTGTAACACCCCGTCTAAACTTACTAAAATCAGAGTAATTTTTCGCACTATAAAAGGAAAGTCCTGATTTAATTTTCGAAGACTCATATTAATTTTTCAAAAATACTTTAACTTTAATATGCGGAATGCTACTCAACTTAAATCTTAAATCTTTAATCTCTTTAAATTACTAGACACGCAACCGAGTATAATTCATTACTCTAAACATCTCAGGATTTAAGCATGCATAGTGTTGTTATGTGGCAATTAACAACGATAATTCAATGAAAAACACGCGGGGTATTCAAGAGAAAGAGATACAGAACCTGATAACCGAAAGGGAAAATTTATTGAATCTTATTGTATATTTTTTTAATGTGTCTCCTCCTGGAGAGTCTATTTTTTCTTTAGATATTAATTTACAACACTTATCAGCAATATAATCATTACATGAGAATAGTCAACGACGGCTAATTGCCATTTATCTTGGTAGCACGCCACTTGGCCAGGTGTAATGATGATTTGTGCTGAGTTGGCGCCGCCTTATGGTGTTCGGTGTGGCAAGTCATAGATATCGGTTTAATTAGCCATAACCGATATGTCCTAACCGACATGTGTACCCGACATGTCACAACCGATATGAGATGTCGGTTAGTTGATGAAGATGTCGGTTCTTGATCCATTTTCTCCCGATATGTGACTGCTTTGGGATCCTTGAAGATGTTCTCCTTTTGAAAGAATATAATCCTCCACTTAATGAGCGTAAAAGCCTGATAAGTTTCGCTAACTTGGTTTACCAAAAACATATCAACAAGGTGGCCCCCAGCATTAATGGATGTCTTGAGAAAAGACGGGCAGTGATGCTGAAAATTCATCAGGAAACAATTAATTTTGAGCGAGTAGAACATGTCGGTTTTTGCAGTTGTCCTTCCGATATCTTCATACTTGTCAAAAATGGTGCTCAAAGCTGAAACGGCGCAATTTAT